TGATTTGTGCAGCAAGGGTTTGGTAGTGGGGGAGGCTGCATGGAGGGGTTTCTGTGAGAAGCTGCTGGAAGCTTCCCCTATGTCCAATAGAGCCAATGTCAGCTGGCTCCAAGATGGACCCACCACTGTTCCAAGGCCAAACCCATCAGTGCTGGTGGTAGTGCCTCTGGGATAATGTGTGTATGAAGGGGGAAAAGACTTCTGAGCATCAGCACCCAGAGGGAGGAGTGAGAACATGTGAGAGCAGCAACTTCACAGGCCAGTGCAGAAGGAGGGGCAGGAGGTGCTCCAGGCAGCAGAGATTCCCCTGCAGCCTGTGGTGCACGCTATGGTGAGACAGCTGTGCCCCTTCAGCCCATGGAAGTCCATATGGGACCAGAGATCCACCTGCAGCACATGGAGGAGCCCCACAGCAGAGCAGGTAGATGCCTGAAGGAAGCTGTAACCTCATGGGGAGCCTGTGCTGGAGCAGGATCCTGGCAGGACCTGTGGCTCCATGGCGAGAGGACCCCACACTGAAGCAGGTTTGCTAGCAGGACTTGTGACCCCACACTGGTGAAGTTCATAAAGAACTGCAGCCCACGTGAAGGACCCATGCTGGAGAAGTTTGTGAAGAACTGTCTTCCATGGGAGGGACCCTAATCTGGAGCAGGGTAAGAGTGTGAGGATTCCTCCCCTGAGGAGGATGGAGCAGCAGAGACAACATGATGGACTGACCACAGCCCCCATTCCTCATCCCTCTGCAGCACTGAGAGGGAGGAAGGAGAGAATTTAGGAGTAAAGTTGAGTGTGGTAAAAAGGAAAGGGAGGGGGGATGGTGTTTTTAAGATTATTTTTCATTATCCTGCTTTGATTTGATTGGCAATAAATAAAAGTAATTTCCCCTAGTCAAATCTGTTTTGCCCATGACAGTAACTGGTGAGTGATCTCTCCTTGCCCTTATCTTGACCTACAAGGGTTTCATTGCATTTTCTCTCCCCTATCCAGCTGAGGAGGGGAGTGACAGAATGGTTTTGGTGAGCACCTGATGTCCAACCAGGGTCAAGTCATCACAAAGAGATGCAAAACTTTACATTAGAAACAAAGTCCTTCCACAACCCAATCTGCTGTCCATCAGGAAGCTGAGGCTGAAACACAACCAAATACATGCAGATATATTTCATTTGTACTGATCCTGTATGTATTTTAAATAATTGAAACTACTGGAATGCTTTGCATTATTAAAGATAGATATCTGGCTAGGTGCAGAATTGCATCTTGGCCAATCAGTGCCAGTGACAGAAATACATATGAAGGAGCTGGTACCTGCTTTTTCACATCCCCAGTTCTAGGGTTGGTTCAGTGGCTTTGGTGATTGCAGAAAACACAGCATCACTGGAGCTGGAGTGTTTATTTTCTTGCTCATTACCTTTCCGTGCTCTTGCAGGACAGGTTTAAGGTGTTTAGCAATTGTTTTGATGGAATAAGAGCAGCTTAGCAGACCTGAAATTCTGGACAATGATGTTTATCTACACAGCAGTTTCATTGTTATTAAGTTCTCCACGCATTCTGAGGATGATTCACAGTTCATTGATTTTGGTATTTAAAATGTATTCATTCATATAAACACTCTTCAGACAGTTCACATTGATCTTAGTATAATCTTAAGTTCTTTTTAGGCAAACGGTGAATTCAGTGTGCTCAAGGAATTTTGTAAATAGGAAAAAAAAAAAGAGAAAGGAAAGAAAAAAAGAAAAATTAATTCCCTGGTGGCTTCCACAGCCTCTCATGCAACCTCCTTTTCAATGCTTTGGTGGAGACAGAGCACTTGAAGCATAAAGGTAAAGGCTGTCAAATCAAAGTTTTGGCAAATTTGCAGCTAAAGTAATATACAGCCTTTTTATTTTCCTTTCCAAGCTATCTGCTCCGTCCAGCTCAGGACAGGTGTATTGAACAAATTCCCAACCTCGAAGAGTCTGAGTTCTTCACAGAACATATTGTATTTAATATGTCCATGCAAAGGAAGTTATAATGCACCTTTAAAGCCTCTTTTATTTCAGCAATGCCTTTTTCAACCATCATCAGCCAGCTGCAATCTAAGTTTAAATAATAAACTAGACAAATCTAGAGGATGAGAGAGTGAACCAGAGACCTGAAAGAGCCTCTGGAAGTGCCTTCTTCTTTTTATCCATTATCCAAAGAGAATGGTTTGGCACCTAATCAAAGTGTCTCAGCTAAGTGGAGTGGAGATGTGTCTAAGCTTTTTTGATCATAGTTTTAGGTAGAAAAATATCTGAAGTTGAATTTATAGTAGGCTAAAGCATGATGAATTACCTCATGATTTCTATCAACTAAGAGCATGGATGTGGACTTTGCTCTGCCAAGAATATTAATTGATGGTGACTTGATTGTGTATTTGATAACAAAGTCAATCAAAATAATTAAATTGTGTGGTATCTGATGATTAAGTGCACTTAAAACTTGCATTGTTTCACAGATCCATGCTGATGTAGTGGCACTGAAATGCAGGCTTAAGCAAGTAATGGCTATTTCTTGCCATGTTTGAAAAATAAGTTTTCGGTAAAGTCATACGATTTCTGATTTGCAGTGCTAAATTCCATTTTATCCAGATTGCATCTACCTTTGTGGACTTTGCTTATCTCTATGCTTATTTGACATAATCAGATCTTCCCATGGTACAGGCTGGCACACTCCCTGCTGAATTATAAAATAATATTCCTTTCTGACTGATGATGATACAGGACTATATTTATGTAAGACTAGAAATATACCACAGAAACTATTTATCTTAGGATTATACATGATATGTATCATTATTTCTTTTAAACAGATAAATGTAATGCTCTTTTAATGCATATTTAATGCAGCAATTGGTAGCATTTGTACTCCTGTATTGATAATAACTCCCAAAATAATGTACTGAACTCTATTTTGCAAAAAAACTGAGAAAAGGTTTTCTTTGGTTATGTCTGTATTCCTCCTTGGAAAACCAGGGCGTTTTACAACATCCAAATATTATCTCATCAGATTCTATTGAAGGAATAATTAACAGAGACAGAGAAGAAACAAGTTTTCCTTTTGCTGATTGTACCTGCAAAGATCTCTTTCAGAAGACCTGCGTAATAGTTTGATTGCCATTTCATGACACCCAGCCACTTCCAGTCACATATCTTAACTGCTCTCTGTGAAAAAGTAAGATATATGTTGCATCTGAAGCCTTAGGACAAATTCTCATCATGATAATCACAAATTGAAAGGACAATCTGAAAAGCCACTTATTTCAAATACAGGAAGATGGCGCTTGCTGAACTTAATATCATTTGCTAGTTTTTAAGGTCTGTAATTTCCACTAATGTTAATGCATTCTAATTATTATCCTGCTTAGCTTTTGTTTCTCATGAAGATTAAAGTGGTCTGTTTGATGTGTGCAAAGAAGTGACTACAGAAAATGGTAAATTAATTGGAAGATGTCAGCTCAGGAGAACGTTTTTGACATGAGCACTGTAAGGCTGTTAACAAACAGACTAACTCATTTGTCTCATCATGAAATGAAAATAAAAATCACAACATTATGATAAAATCTTGACTAAGAAATGCCTGCAAGACTCTTTGAAGCCTTGGGTTTTCTTTTCTTCCCTGAGCTTTGGCACTGTGATATATGCAAACCACGTTCTGCAGAACTGTGAAGTGAAATAGGTTCTATGCAGAACAGATGGGCCTGGGCTAATGCAGCAATGTGCACTGCAGACGAGAACAGATTAATACCACAAGGGGAGACTGGAGGAAAATTGGAGAGATGGGGGTATTTGAACTAATTCATGAATCATTTCCAACTGATAGTTATGCCTTCAGGCACAGTGAATAATATCAAGGAAGCATACTTAAAATTTTATAAGTTTGTTTTAATGTAGATTAGAATTAAGAGCCATACTTCTGGATGATTAAAAAAATATCTTGTATTCCCCCATCCCAAAATGTAGCTTTGTGGATTTGAATATCACTGATGACCTTAATTATGTGCAGTGTGACATGAATTGCTGTTTGGAAAACCCATGGCAGATTCATGGACTTGGCACAAAGCTTTGGGGAATGGATTTTTCAGAAGAACTGTATAAGCTGGAAGAACATGCTATTCCACTTGAATCCAAGCCACAGAGATGCAGCTCTGTAGTGTCTGGAGGCATGGTTTGGTTCCTAGATCTCGTTCAGATGTCTCTCCAAGTCTCCCCTGTCTTCACCTTATCCAAATAGCCTTCAGTCTTATGAGATTCAGACTTCTCAAAGCTGTGCCAGTGTGAGCAAATGTAGATTCAAAGATCTTTGAATGAAATATTCAGGCATATGTTACAGAATGAGGCTTTCAACAGAGAAATTTCACATCACTAAGTTGTGGTGCTGTTGCTAATGGACTGTAGTGCAGACAACCACATAGAAATAAAGAAGTTCACCTGAGAATAAAAATTATTTTAACAAACATAAAAACATCAGGATCTGAAACAATGATGATATTTGAGAGATATGTGACTTCCCAGTATCAGTGAAGGTATCAGAGTTTTGTTTATGGATGGAAAAGTACAATTCCATGTGTTAGGAAATCAAAGATCCTTCATTTTACAAAGCTCAGAGTATATGGATGACCCGGATTACCTGGTTAGTAAGAGGAAAAAGAAACTGTGAGAAGAGGAAACATATAGATAATTGTCTGGATGTTCTTCATTCTCTACATGACTTCTCAGGAGATAATTTTCAAGCTATGGAAGAGGATGTGAAACACTTGACAGTGAAGGTAGATTCTGAGAAAAATCTAAAGCAGAGGGGTAGTTCAGTTTGCTGGTAATGAAATAATCTGTATGGGTTTCTGTTCATCATCACAGAAGACAATGTATTATTCCTCTTGTATACAATTCTTTCATCCCAGGCAAGGCTCAATGAGAACAGGGAAAGGTATGAAATGGCTCACATGCCTAAAACTTGATTCTCTTCTGCTGATTTCATTGCAGGTTGCAAATCTGGCCTGTTCAATCTCAAATAATGAAGAAGGTGTGAAGTTAGTCCGTATGGCAGCAACACAAATTGATAGTCTGTGCCCACAGGTAAGTAAGATTCCTGCTAAAAAGTACTTGAGAACTCTTTTACTATTAAAAAGCATCAGTTAGCTGAGACAGGGAAAACAGCCTGGGTGAAGATTATAGCCTTGTCTTTGTCATTACATTGTTGCCTGCTTTCCATGAACTGTGAAAAATACATTCATATTTTGAGACCTGCATAACAAATGGGGTGTAATGCTGTATTTTTAACACAGTCCATAATCTATTTATTCCTTCGCTTGTGAAAAAAATCTTGCCATTCCTCCTAACAAATGGGTTTGAATAACAGGTAATTAATGCTGCCCTCACACTGGCTGCCAGACCCCAGAGCAAAGTAGCCCAGGACAACATGGATGTCTTTAAAGATCAGTGGGAGAAACAGGTGCGAGTTCTCACTGAAGCTGTTGATGACATCACTTCGGTGGATGATTTCCTCTCTGTTTCAGGTACTGGGATCAAGGGACTTTCCTAAAAATATACTACTAAACTAAACTAATGGGTCATAGCAGATAAAAGCTGTAATTACTAAAGTATCATTAATCCATTAGTCTGTCTCTATTGGAATGCTGATCTTCTACACTCAGTAGGAGCAACCACACCATGTCAATTAATCCCTGGTCGCAATGGTTAGCTTTTCACCTCCCCGAAAATAGCATCTTATTTGTGCTTCTATTTGTAGAGAAGTTTTGTTTCAACTCAGGCACCAAATAGCATTTTGGCCACCTTTTAAAAATGTATTCCAGACCTGTGACAGGCTGATACAATTTATAGAAATTGTTAAAGCCCTTGTGCAGGTGTAGGCAAGAGGAGGAAAGACGAACTTTATAAAATCACAGAATCACAGAATGGTTTGGGTTGGAAGGGACCTTAAAGACCATCTAGTTCCAGCCTCCCTTGCTGTGGGCCCGGATACCTTCCACCAGACAAAGTTGCTCTAAGCCCCATCCAACCTGGCCTTGACATTTTCCTTACTTTATTCTGTAGCTTTGCTCAGATCAGTTTTGTCTATACAGTGGGGCAGATGTACCTTACAGTCCTGGCCCCTGACCATCTGTACCATGTTATCAGGCCTTGAAGAGGGATAGGAAGAAGAGAAATAGGCAGATGCTGCATTTGTTCGTGATGGACCTAGCCGTGTTAATAGTTGAATGATGATCTTAGAAACCTTTTCCAACCTTAATGATTCTATGATTCTGTGTGTCTCATCTCAGACATGACCAGTGTGTACTTTTTCAGAGAGCTAGTAGGCACATCTGGGTCTCAGAGTTATTGGTGTAGCAATAAAACCAGAGTGAAGTAGTAAAGGGGTATAACAAATAGCAAAACTTTGCACCTCTCTGACCTCACTAGGAAGGCTCAAAGTGCAAAGCAAGTTCTTGTATGAAAACAGACAAAGTGTCTTAGGCCTTACATAAAGAAGGGATGGAGAAAAGGACAATGACTCTTTGGATCACAGCCTTTTCTCCATCCTCCTTGTAAAGTGCAACTTGTGGCAGAGCGTATTGTTATAACATAGTCATACACAATGAATTCTGTAATTGCACAGTGCTCTGTGCCTTGGGTTAATTGTCTGCTGCAGAAAACTCATTTTCCTATTTCAGTTTGAAAGGTGAATTTCATTGTTGCAACTAAGGACATAGAGTGTGCCAAGAGTGCTTAGTTTACTTGAATATCTCACAAGAGCCAAACTTCAGGAGGTAGTCTGGCTGAAATGTTATGTTTCATTCTACATGATTTTCCTTGATGTTTCCTAAATTCTCTAATAAATGTTTATGAGGTTTGGAGGAAAAAAACCCAACTTAGCCTTTTTAAAAATCCTTAATTTCTTTTTGTTGCCCCACCCTTTATTTTGTTTGGTTGTATCCTGCCTCTATTATTAATAGGGAATGGTTTTCTTTAGTTAATTACACTCCACTTTCAACATCCTGGCTAGAGTGTTTACTGCAAGCCATAACAAAAAAAATGAAAATGAACTCTCAAAATGAAAGGGTACTTCAGAATCTGGGAGAACACTGATTTTTGTTTGAGACTTGAAGCTGACAAATACTTTTCAGCAGACCTAGTTCTGTGCTGAAAGGGATGACTAGGCTGTAAACTGCAGACCCAATCCACAAGCCAAAGAGCTGGCAAACTGGCTTAAATGGCCATTTAGTTCTTAGTTTGAGAACTTTGTTTACTCCAAGCACTTGTATCCACAAACCAAAAGTGATTTGAATGGATGATGGGATTTTTAATTTTTTTCTCAAATCATATTTCCTTCTAACACAGATCCAAACTTTCCAAGGTGGATGAGAAGTGTTATTTCTGTCGAGTTTAGATTTTTTTTCCTAATACTGTCCATAGGCATCTCCATTAAACATGAGAAAACATGACATATATTCAGAAAGCCTGTTGCTACTTGCTGTGAGCTTGGAAGCCTCAGCTTACAAAGGGTAGTTTTATTTTTGGATGTTAAACCACTGAAGCATTCAAAATGCTACTGTCTGGTTAAATGTACCTCTTGAAATGACACCTCCTCCTCTTCATATTGAGTGTCACATTTGATGGTATGTTTTAATAATATGGTGGCTACCAAAAGAAAGATGATCATAATTTTAATAGGTTATTCTATATTCCAAATGCACTGTCTGTTCAAATCCATGTAGCACTACTTATTGGGAAAAATTGGTAATGCCTTGGTTAAAAAAAAAGGAATAGTGATAAGGAATAGTGAAGAAATGTTCTAGCAAATGAACGGTTTTTTATATGTGGATAGAGAGTTTTTTAAACAAAGAATTTTGTCTTGCAAGTTACTGTGTTTCACAGCTCAGGGGACTTTCAGTTTCCATCCAGAGTTGCTACAGTGTAAAATTCAACATCATGTAAAACACTTCTGAAACCCTCAAATGATCCAACCTTGGGATTTTTTACAGGGAAGATTAGTGTATCATTCTTTTTAGTGGCCAAGGTTAATTAACAAGAAGAAAATGGTGAACTGATTGATTCTATTTTATTTATTACTACTACAAACAATAGCACTGCATTTTCAGTTTAGAGGGGTCTGTAGCAGAAAAACAAGTTGTTATTTGGAGTCACTGAGTTTCTTAGAGTGAACTTGCTCAAATACGAAATTCAGTCATAGTTTTGTTATTGAAATGATTTTTAGCTGTACTGACTACAGGGAAATAATGTGTGACCTAGTCAAACTCTGCTTCATCCTTTCACATTATGTGAGGATACTACGTGAGCTCTGATACTTCAGCACATGAGAGTAGGTGGCCTGTTTCTGAGCCAAAGAAACTGGTGCAGCTCCCAAGAATCCAATAAAGCTACTTGGTATTACATATCTGAGCAGACTGACTGTTGTCAGCTCTTACCTCAGAATATGCACAGTCACATAAAATTATACTGTGAGTCATGAAAAATTCACATCTTATTCTCTGGCATAGACGGAGTGAAGGAGATGAACTGCTCCTGTCCAAGCTCCCTGCTATTTACAAAGGCCATTTTCTGTTGTCTTTTCAAAATGCTTTATTTTCTTTTCTGACTTATTTAGGCACAAATGAACCAAACATATTAAATGTTTATGGGAGTGTGTAAATTCATCTTCAGAAAATTGCCCAACTGTTTATTAGAGAATCTGCATAACATTTGACCGCTTTCCCTTTTGCATTCATTTTATTACAGTTTCATTAGAATAAAATTCAGTGTGATGTTTGAAATTAATGTGATTGATTTTCAGAGAATTGCAGGTTGGGTCTCACAATGTAGGTAAGATGATGTAGCCCAGTGCTTGTTAAAGATAAATATCGTGCTTGGGATTTTTAGTATTATGTGACATAATACCACAGAAGGACATTTGTTTTGCAGACCTAGATAAGGATAGATATCCATTTTTTAACACACTGACATTTGCTGTTTACTCAAATCAGTAAGCTTTGCTATGAGGAAAAATGAAATGAAAATGAGCCATATTTTTTTCCTCCATTTCAGAAAACCATATTCTGGAAGATGTGAATAAATGTGTGATTGCTCTCCAAGAGGGGGATGTGGATACACTGGACAGAACTGCGGGTGCCATCCGAGGCCGTGCAGCCAGGGTTATTCACATCATTAATGCAGAGATGGAAAACTATGAAACTGGAGTTTATACTGAGAAGGTACTAGAAGCTACCAAACTGCTCTCTGAAACTGGTAAGCTTGCTTGAAATATTGACAGATTTATTGAAATGTTCATTATTTAGTAATTTAAAACTTTCAGTTAATTCTCTTTGATCTGTTACTCAGAGGCAAACCTATGCTTGACAGCAAGGTATAAACAAATTCATGACCATGAGTGGTTTTTTTATTCCCTACTCATTGCTGTTGCAGAAGTCATATTGACAAGAGCCATATAAGAGAATAAATTCACTAGCCCATGAAACCTAGTCAACTTCATCAAAGTGTCTATGATTTGCATAAATCATACACAGCTTCTCTTCCTGAGTTGGTTGCTTATGTATTATGTGTCTCTAGAAAATCATTACAAACATTATTCTGTAGTCTGCATAGGGGAATGTACTTGTTGGTGACTGCAGTTGTGTTTCTAAACAAAACCAATCCTTTTTTTTCCATTGAAAAATACACGAGCCCCTGAAAATGTATTACCTAACTGAAAAAATAGAAAAGTCTGCTAGATGGATATACTGGGAAAAAAAAACACCCTTTTTTTTTTTCAACCAGTTCTTGCCTCGACAGAGCAGGTATGGGATTCACCTAAGTATGAGTGACTACATTTAAACTGGTCATTTTAAACCCCTTTATAGTCAATACTCTCTGTTGCTTTGTGCATCTCAATAATTCAGTGCAGGCAGTACCACCAAGTGCTCTCATCTTAAAGCAGTGGTCGACATTTGTTTGGATGAATCATGCCCTGAGTTTCATTGACTTTACAGACTAGGTCTCTACTCACTACAGGTGACCAGCTATGATATAGATCCATGTATTGTGGATGCCTGAAAATATCTGAGCTGATCCTCCCCTACCTGCTTGCAGTTGCTCATCTGGTCTTTAAAATCATCAAGATTATTTTGGAAGGAACAAGTGAAAATTGCACCAGTTCAGGACACAGCAAATAGAACTTTCGGACAGAGAAATCAGACATTTCCCTATGAGATGGAAAAGCCCAAACTGTTGTACCTCTGGCAGCCTCTGTGTTTGCTTTGAGAATGGAAATCAACAAAATGAGCTAAAAAAAGAATATGTTGGAATATTTTAATATTACTTGTTATTGTTGCCCCCAGCTTAATATCTTTTAGCCCTAATAGGGACCCCAATTTGCACAGATAAATCTCACTGACCAAAATCAAGAATTTATAGCTGAAGTGTAGGTTCTTGAGATTGAGATTATGACTAGAAAGTTGTGCCTTGAACATATGTAATGCTGGTAGATCCACAATGTATAGAGATTAACTTTCACAGGCATTTTCCTGTGAGCTGCAGAGAGACAATAGGTCAGAAATCAGTGACATAACCTTCAGCCTGTGGTACACTGGGCTCTACACAGCTATTTCTTATGCAGCATTCATGTTCACTTTGCATCTGTCTGAACCCAAAGGGTCATGGCCTTGAAAATGGTCAAAATGCCTTTTGGCCTTACCTTGAAGATAATGGAATGAGGTTTGCTTCTTTTTTTTTTTCCTCAAAATTTATTGATTCTGTTTGAGTCATATTTTTAGGTGGGAGGTGTTAAAGTGGGTCCAACAATTGTTTTCATTACTCACCCTATTTTTTACTACCCAACAAGAGATCAATGGAATGAGTACTGTAATTTTAGTTTAGTTATAGAAGTCTGTGAACAGGTATTATGAATTCACACAGGAAATATAATCTGTTCAGTTTCACATGGTAAAATATTTTCTTACAGTCTTGTGTTAAAGTCATCTTTTGGCCAAGGAAAGATTTTAAAGAATTCATAGAATCATAGAATTTTTACTACCCAACAAGAGATCAATGGAATGAGTACTGTAATTTTAGTTTAGTTATAGAAGTCTGTGAACAGGTATTATGAATTCACACAGGAAATATAATCTGTTCAGTTTCACATGGTAAAATATTTTCTTACAGTCTTGTGTTAAAGTCATCTTTTGGCCAAGGAAAGATTTTAAAGAATTCATAGAATCATAGAATTTTAGGGGTTGGGTTGGACTCTTTATTAAGCTAAACAAATCAATGGTCAGGCTTTTTATTTAGCTAAATTTCTAACCTAATGTTCTATAAAATGTTTTATTAAAAATATTTTCAGCAGAGTAACCGGCAGATATAAAGTGTCATTATATAGATCAATAATAGGCACAGTAATACTTAAATTCCATATTTAATGCACTTTTAAATATAGTTTAAATTATAACTAAGTGCAATAAACTCTGGACTAAGTGTATCTTAACAGCATCAACTCATTACTGCTGGGATTCAATGCCTTAGACCGAACCCCTATTCCTCAAAATCAAAGTTATTACTTATTTTGTATTTTCTAAAATGTACATAAACTTGTGAATATTTAAAAAAATATATTAAAATGATGTTTTCAATGGTAAGAAATTTATATCATGTAAAAATTGTGCAGCAGAAGTTCAGGAGATAGAATGGTACCAAATTCAGTGGAGCTGATGAAGCTTAAGCAATTTATGCCAGACATGAGTGTGGATCATTAATATTACAGCACAGTTTCTATCTGCAGCTTTTCAGGCCATTTACAAAGGCATTGATTATTATTTCTCTGTGATTAAAAAGGTAGAATTTACTATCTTATTTTGTCCCCCTGGAGTAAAGTGGTAAAAATGGTTTTTACACTATTCTGTGTCATTCTATGCCCCAGTTACACTCTACCCTCTCCTGGAGAACAGGTCTCTGCCTACATATACATCAGGGTAGCTATGGATATAGAGATATTGAGGTGCTGGAGCATGTTCAGAGAGGGGAACAGAGCTGGGAAAGGGTCTGGAGCACAAGGAGTGACTGAGGGAGCTGGGGAAGCTCAGCCTGGAGAAAAGGAGGCTCTGGTGGGACCTTCTCAATCTCTAGAACTACCTGACAGGAGATTGGAGCCATGTGGGGGTCGGGTTTTGCTCCCAGGTAATAAGTACAGAGGAAATGGCCTCAAGTTGCACCAGGGTAGGTTTAGGTTAAGGAAAAGGTTCTTTACAGAAAGTGTGGTCAAGCACTGGAACAGGCTGCCCAGGTAAGTGATGGAATCATTGTCCTTGGAAGTATTCAAAATACATGTGGATGTGACGTGTTTGGTGGTGAACATAGTGGTGCTGGGTTAATGGGTACACTCAATGCTCATATAGATATTTTCCAACTTCAACGATTCTATGATATGGGTACCTATAAATGGTATGATATGGGTGCCTTTGAATACCTGCATATATTTCTATATTCTCTCTATTCATCACCTCAAGATCCTGCACAGATTTTATCAAACACTCAAGAATGATGAGACTGATATACTGGGGTTCAGGTTCTACCCACATATTGGAATTTCTATGAGAAGCACAATCATAGAATCATAGAGTCATAGAATTTAAGGGTTGGAATGAACCTTACAGATCATCTAGTCCTATCCCTCCCTGCCATGGGTAGGGACACCTCACTAGATCAGGTTGCTTAAGGCCTCATCCAGCCTGGTCTTGAACACCACCAGGGTTGGGGCAGCCACCACTTCCCTGGACAACCTGTTCCAATGTCTTACCACCCCACCCTTAGAAAACTTTTTTCGAATATGTAAGCTAAACTTCCCCTCCTTCAGTTTGAATCCTCACCATTTTCATTTTTGTTCCTTCTTTTCTTTTTAATTGACCTTTATTTTTAAATGAAGTGCTTTTGGAAGCTGGAAAAAAAAGTTAAATTACAATGGAAAGGAAATAAGCACATTGCCTTTCTCTTATAATTGTTACTTATTTTCAACTATCAGCCCAGAAAAGAAAAGCCTCTTTTAGGCCTCTTTTTCCAGAGTTTTCAATTTGTTACATGAGTATTAGGTGTGATCCACAGTGGAGAAATATGGATACACTGTTTTGGAAAGAGAAACACCTTGCTAATATTTTTTTTAGTGGGGAGAAAATTAATCTTTAATGAAACCAATATTGGTAGGTTGTGAGAAATTGAAACTGCAAATGTTACTTTAATAACTGGTCTCACCTCAATTTTATTTGTTTGCTGCTTTAATTTGCAGCCTTTGGAATACATGAGGTGCTTTTTTTGGTGTTTTACTGCTTTCTTGCCTGGGCTTGACTAACGAACTGCCTTTAAAGCCAAGCACTTGGTAGAGGTTAGATTCTTATCACTGACAGCAGTATTAGGGAGTGACAGATTGGTTAATGTCTTTAAAATTGGGTACTTTCATTTCCCTTTAAAAACCAAAATAAAAACTTAACTCTCGCCTTCTGACTTTTTTTATAAATCCAAGTTGAAAACTTTAAAACAACAGAGTCTCTGTGGCTCGCTGGGAACAAACAGCTCAGATTTTAGTGGCTGTTAATTGTGTGCAGGGAGAAACCAGAGCTTCAGGGCTTATTTTTTTGTTTGCCTTTTAGGGCACTGTGAAGTTTTACTTTTTAACTGGGCATTGCTTTGTTTCTAAAGAGCAAGGCCCAGTGGCTTCCTGGGGTGAGCCCCAGCCCTTGGCATCAGGCACCTCCATGGCAAAGGGATGGCTTGAGGCCAGGCTGCGATTTCAGCCTGTGGATGGAAGTCAGGACCAGGCCCAAGAATGGGAACCAGGGTCAGACACAGCCCAGTGACTGGGAGGCAGGTCCATGCTGATGGCCCCTGTTAAATGTTATATTAGTATCCAGATTTGTAGAGAACTGTGAAATTATCCTCTTACAGGCAGTCCATGAAAAAACAAAGAGGAAGAAGAGTGGAAAGGAAAAGAGAGAAGAAAGAAAAGGTTAAAATCAAGGATAAAGGCAAAAGGAGAGGGAGAGGAGCAAGAGAAAACAGAGCACAATTTCTATTTGAATATTGAGATCTCTCATACTGGTCAGCACATTGTCCTAGAGCAACCAAGGCCAGCTGAGACTGTCCCATTGCCATTAATAAGGAGGAGATCAAAGTCTACTCAGCAATTACTTCAGAAGCTGTAAAAACTGAAGGGAAGAAGCATGAGTTTCTGAATGAGTAAATAAAATTGTCCCCAGACAGAAATCAAG